GATCCCGGGGCCTGGGGGGGGTCAATCAGGATATTCAGCCCCAATACAACCCAGACGTCTCCCATCACCCTTGTGGTGAGACGGGGGTTGGCCAAATGAGCGGTAATCCATATTGGAAGGGTCAGTCCTCCATATTGGAAGGGTCAGTCCTCCAGATTGGAAGGGTCAGTCCTCCATATTGGAAGGGTCAGTCCTCCATATTGGAAGGGTCAGTCCTCCATATTGGAAGGGTCAAGTTCACTTTCTTCGCGGCCGACGATAGTTTGAGGAATGATACAAAGCCCGGGCCTGACATTACTAAGGGAACGGAGGGAGAAAGGTTCACAGCGCCATTCATCAGAGGCCGCCGCCCAGTTTTTGTCTCCTTCCTTCATATACAATGTTACTTCTCAGATTCCGGGGACAGGAAATGAAAGTGTCGCCGCATGAAAACCCCGAAATGCGTCACCGCTCTCTCTGACCCAACAACCTGGATGAGACTGGACACAATGTATCGGCGCGGAGACCGAGCGCCTTCCTCATGGAAAGACGGCGGAGGAGAAGCCACCAGCACCCCGGAGTCCAGTACATCCGTCACTATGCAGGTCAGATAATCGCATACACACGCCGGCACTCATACGTGATCACATGATCACCCGCCCGGGCCCCGGTGGCTTATCCTTCTGCTGCTACTTCCACACCCACTAATGTATCGTGAATGGGATTCCAGTACGGAATGTGACGGGACAACTTCTGACTCCTTCCTCATGGAAGGCGCAGCCAGGAAACGGGGATTTTCTCTACCGCCGGACACCATTCACGTGCCGCCGTCTTATCGCCTCACTGCAGCAAGAGGCGAACTCCTTTACAGAGGACCGTGCCGTAAAATGGAAGGTCTGCTGACCCGGTTTTTTACGTCGCATTCCTTCCGGCTACATCCCGAGGAGACCAAACCTCACGGGAAGACGTCCTCGCAATGGTTCACGGCGGCTTCCCGCAAGATTCCGCCCGCTCCGCATCTCTTAGGAATCTACCCGCAAGGATGGCGGCGTCACGCCCAGCGCTGCAGAACACGGCGTTACGTATTGTATCTAACAGGAAGTGACCCGTAAAGGGGGAGGGGCAGCGCATTTCACTAAAAACCCAAAATTCCATCCAAAGCTTTGTTTTATTTGATGTTTCGGATAAAAGGAGAAGCTCCGGAAATGTGTATTTCTCTTCATTTTCTATATATCGGGCGTCAGACAGAACAAGAAGTGAGGGGGAGATCCTCCAAAGAGAGAACAGGAAGTGAGGGGGAGATCCTCCAAAGAGAGAACAGGAAGTGAGGGGGAGATCCTCCAAAAGAGAGAACAGGAAGTGAGGGGGAGAACCTCCAAAGAGAGAACAGGAAGTGAGGGGGAGAACCTCCAAAGAGAGAACAGGAAGTGAGGGGGAGAACCTCCAAAGAGAGAGCAGGAAGTGAGGGGGAGATCCTCCAAAAGAGAGAGCAGGAAGTGAGGGGGAGAACCTCCAAAGAGAGAACAGGAAGTGAGGGGGAGATCCTCCAAAGAGAGAACAGGAAGTGAGGGGGAGAACCTCCAAAGAGAGAACAGGAAGTGAGGGGGAGAACCTCCAAAGAGAGAACAGGAAGTGAGGGGGAGAACCTCCAAAGAGAGAACAGGAAGTGAGGGGGAGATCCTCCAAAGAGAGAACAGGAAGTGAGGGGGAGATCCTCCAAACAGAACGCAGACCGCCATTAAAACGTGTGTACCGGAAGAAGGGGGGGGAAGGGTTGGATTCTCTACGTGTCCATCAAGGAAATGTTTTCTCTTGTTCAGGAAATGGGAGAGAGTGGAAATCCCCCCACAGCACGGCAGAACATTGAAAGCTGAACTCTGAAAGTAAATAATATCCTCATACAAGACCCACGTGAGTTCTTCCTGGAATCTCGGTGAGCTTTGTATATTTCTCCCAGATCTGCGACACCGTGTGCAGGAGCTTCCTGTAATGAGGACCGGTCACTGCTGCTCTCTCCTGGTGCAGGGTGACTGGTCTCGTCTCCGCCCCCCCCGCCCCCCACCTGTAGTTTCCTTTAGTGGGTGGAGCCTTCTGGGTCCCTCCCACTGCTCTCTGCACAAGCTATATGTACAGCACGCGATGATGTCACCGCTGCTGGCACAAGGTAATATCTAGGTTTGCAATGGCGCGCACAGTGGAATGACATCCCCCTCGGGCTATTGAACAAGATATGAATTTTTTGGTGTTCCTCAGATTCAGCTTTAAAACCCG